TTTCGAACCCTAAAGCTATAGAAGCTATCAGAAAAGAATGGGCTGGTCTACACAAACAATATGTTTTCGACATGACGAATGTCAGGGAATATGATGATGTGCGATCGGAAGCTCGCCGTCTTGAAGAAATCGTTCATTTCGCCAGGGTCCATGGCATAATGGTGGAAAAGAACGAACAATTGCCTGCTGACGATCCGCGAAGGAAATTCAAGTACCGGGTGGTTTTGCTGGGCAACCAAGTAAAGGATCAGGATATGGCTGATACTATTTTTCATGATCTGGGCAACAGTCCTGCGACGTTCGAAGCATCACGCTGGGCAGACTTCCTAGGATGTGTGGAAGGATGGGAGGTTCAAGTTGCTCCAAGCTTACATTCAGGCTTACATCGAAGGTCCTGCCTTGTGGGTGGAACTCCCAAGGGAGGACCATGCGTCAGAATGGTGAAAGCTCTGCACGGCCACCCTGATGCTGGGACGTTCTGGGAGGAACATTGCCACAAGGGCGTTACGGCGGTGGGATTCGAGCCCGTGGGGGCGGAGTGGCCATCCGTGTACGTCCACAAGGAACTCAACTTGCTGCTAGTCGTCTATGTGGATGATTTCAAAGTGGCGGGACCCAAAGGAAATCTGTCGAAGGGGTGGAATCTTCTTCGCACCAAGCTGGAGATCGAGCCTGAAACAGGTCTTGGTTTATACTTGGGTTGTAATCAGATCAAGGGAACTGCTAATCTGGGTGGTGTGCCTGTCAGTACGGTGACCTGTGACATGGAAGAATTTCTCGAGATGTCTGTTCAGAAGTACCGGGATATATCATTGGGAACCATGTCAAGCTGAAGGACGCCAAGACTCCATCGCTTCCGGAGGATGCGAAGGACCATCCAGCAAGACGGCCTTATACCGACGGGAAACAGGTCGAATGCATGTGGTGTAAACACACGTTCAATCCCGATGTCCCGTTTACTCCAGGCGAGACGGCCGAGACGGACGCGACAACGCGCGGCTAGCGTGCTCATGAAACTACTTTACGCTGCGCGTCTAGCACGGTTCGATGTGCTTCGCCCCATTAATTCATTTTAGCACGTCACGTGACAAAGTGGAGCAAAGAGGACGACAAGCGACTGCATCACTTGATGTGTTACGTCAACTGGTCCAAGAAGAAGAAAATGATCGGATGGGTCGGTGATCCATTGGATCAGGTTCAAGTGGCCATGTATGCGGACGCAGATTTTTCAGGATGTGCGGATTCCCTAAGGTCTACCTCGGGATGTCAGGTAAATTTGCATGGCAAACATACTCGCTTTCCGTTGGTGGGCAACAGCAAGAGGCAATCTTGCGTGAGTCATTCGACCCCAGAGGCTGAAATCGTTGCTGCTGATGCGACGTTTCGCAACCACGGGTTACCCTGTGCTGTTTTCTGGGAAGGGGTTATTCGCCATCTATACGATGATAACCAGTCCATGATTGCTGTTGCAAGGACTGGGAAGAATCCGACGATGTGACATTTGGAACGAACCCATGGCATTAGCATTGCCTGGCTTCATGAAATGTTCAAACGAGAAGAATACGCCCTGGTTTATGAGTTGTCGTCTAAGATGGCGGCCGACATTTACACAAAGGCTTTTCACGACCCTGTTCGTTGGAAGCATGCGTGTATGTTGGTCAATCTCTTTGACCCGGGTGATCTGGACGACCCGGCAACGTTGGAAGCGTTGACGCCGTCCCATGACGCCGAATCTGGCCAACGCCAGGCATATGGGAGTCGTCCTAAAACCCCAGTCTCTGTTTTTAGTCTACGACGAACACGGAGAAGTAAAATAAGCTTAAAACCTCACGCGCGCAAGGTTCGCGCAAGGGCGACGCAAGGGTCGCGCAAGGAGAACAAAAACTAGGGTCACATACTTTCATATTGAGTAGTTTGTGAAGCAAGGTGATAGCTTTGAGCTGCATTATTGGCTTTCAAATGTTGCTAGGGTCATGTGCAATTAAAAGTAGGAGTAGGCCCGTTGCAAGTTTACAAGCTGGTCTCAAAGGGTTCTTGGAAGGGGCTCAGTTGAGGTCAGCCGTAACTTCAAAAAGCAGAAAGTGACACGACACATTCCGCGCAAGGTGCGAGCAAGCCGCGCGCAAGCCGCGCGCAAGCACGACAAGCCTCAGCAAGGCACCTGCCCACTCGCTGCCTCACACATGTCCTTAGCCGCGCGGTTGAGGCAATGGCTAGCTGCTGGCCAGCCAGCGGTGAAGCGTGGCGAGAGAGACTAGTGAACGAAAACTTTGCAAAACACAGCCCTCCGAAAACCGATTTGCACTTACTGAGCGCGCGCAAGCTCGCGCAAGGTTCGCGCATGGGCGGCGCAAGGACCCAAACCCAGGCAAAAGAATTTAAGACAGCCCCCATATGGGCAAATGGTGGATGATGTTCCGGCATTTCCGTATACCCAAACGCCCATTTTGCCTAAGGAAGTGTACAAGCCGGGTATGACGTCCAAAATTGGGCTACACGAGCACGAGGGATCCCCCGTGTTTGTGGTCGCCAAAATGCCGAGACACAAGAAGCTGCGGCCCGGGAAGGAGGACGATGGTGTACGTTGGTTGTGTACAACATGGGTACTTCGGAACGGTAAGTGGGAACTTGAGTCTCGGGATGAGGAGCCCAAGCGGCCCAAGCGCTCTAACAATGTCACCAATTACTGGGTAGATCGGGCTGTGTTCCTGTTCCGCAGAGCGGCTGCTGCTGACGACAAGGATGAAGTTTCAATCCCTGAGGAACGCCCCAGAAGCCGGGACGGAACACGTTATTTTCGACAAATGGGAATACAATGAGGTTACTGGTGCCAGCCTGGGGGGCGATGCCGGCTGTTCACGGTGATGTAGCGGCAACGCAAGAGCACTGGTTGAATGATGTCCTGAAAAACACACTCCCGCACCCAAAATGGCTGTCGCTCGTGACAGTCCGCAATGGGAGATGGCTGACGGTGCTCAAGGCAATAACTTCCCTTGTCCATGGGGGGAGGCCTACCCATTTCGAACAACTTAAGGCCGACAAAAAGCAAATGCATTTCGTACCATGTATACAAAAGAACAACATATTACGTGATACGTGGTGCGCATGCTATGTGTCATAGAACCACAAGAAGAACAATGAGGCGAATACAATGGTACAGGTCGATTTCCTCAGGCAGACTGGGAAGATCAACCTGATGACTATCACTGAACAAGAAGATGTCAACATGGGAAAATATGGGTACCTGGCCACCCTCAAGTCCTTACGGTCCAACAGGGATACTATTTTCTTTGCAGGGCCAAGTACTGGGGGATCGGCATGGAATCGGCTCAACGAGTCTCGAGGCGGCGACACTTTACGCAAAATCGAACAGAAGAAGGTCCTTTTCTGGAGGCTTTTTGACTCGTTCGTGGAGGTCATGTTCAATCGTCAACAATGCGGAGCCCTAATGGAGTTACCCACAGGATGTTCTTACTGGAATGACCGAAGAATGCTCAACCTCATGTCGGGTACCGATTGCGTGCGTTTTCATGTTCATGGATGCATGTATGGAGTGGTCGAGCAGCACGGGGGGGGGGGGGGCAGGGCGATCAAAAAACCCTGGTCATTCGTTTCATGGAACCCCGGGAAACCAAAAGGGCTTGAGCTCAAATGTGACAAGTCCCACGAACATGCTCCATGTGCTGGAAGAGAGACCAAGGGCACCGAGGTTTACTCACTGTCCCTATGCCGCCGGCTCGTAGAATATTGTATGCACGAGTTCAAAACATGTCGCCATTTCGAGGGTATTTGTGAAGCAATTGGACAGTCGTCTCATGAAGATTGGTTCAAGAATCACATTAGCAACCCAATCATCAAACTTGCATTATGTGCAATTAGTGTTTGCTCACGCAAGACAGTTGGACTCTGCAGCAATTTCCCGTCCGATGGTACCAGTGACACCGGAGGGTGCAGACTGCACGACAGCTGCACTCGATCGGTAGATCTGCACTTTGGCTGTGGTGAAGAGGGACCGCACGACGGCTCTCGGAACCCGGTTCATGGTGTTATTTTCCTATTCCAAGCAATTCGCTGCCTGACGACCATTCAGACGGTGTCCAGTATTCACCTGCATTCGAGATGTATGTGAGGAAGGACACCGCTGCCGCTCCACCGTCGGATGACATTGACGGTATTTGGCCACTGGATCCCCTGGCGAGGTACAGGTCATACTGCTACGGCAACATTTCGACAAGTAAACATGGCTACGGCTAAAAGCCTAGAAGCCCATATTTCAATACAGTTCATGCTGGAAGCCAAAAGAAATTTGTGTCTGTTTTTGTTTCTGTTTTTTGATGCATCATTGGCTTCCAAGCAGTTCATGTATATATACGTCACCATTTGGGCTCAAGGCCTGTTCTTTTCATGTACAATACCGCACTCGATGCGTGAGTAGGAAAAGCACCTTGCGGAGCGCTTTATAGGAATCCACAACAATCCTTTCCCAGGGACTATTACAAGGACATCGTGGGACCTCTTTGCAGAATAGATTCAGGGCCTATATTGATCCACACTCACAGCAATACCGGTTCCCTTCTTGGGATAAGGTTACCCTGTGACCGGATACAGGGGGTAAGGGGGGGGTTATCCTCTATCCTCTATAATTAGGTGTCCGACACGCCGAGCAATGTCGGCGGATACACATGTGTGTCTGTGTGTTCATGATATGTGTGTTCATTGATTCATTGACTTTGCCAGACCCTGAATCCTCTAGGTGTCCAAGATGTTTTTTGGTTGACAATTGGCAGTCGACTCACGAAGCTAGGCTGCCAGAACACGGCGCCAGGCCCCGCTGGCAATCGGCATGGGCACGCGCAGCTGCAAGGTCCACAAGGATCCAACCCCCAGAGATACAGCTAGGTTTTGACCCAAAGCCATACTATAACATCATAGACACTCACTCCTCTTCAAAGAGCTTTTGTGTAATCAACTCGAGTGGTGCATGAGCCGTCCGGATCAAGGCGGCAGGCGCGCTATGTGGTTTCGCGGGCGCGCCGAGTGACTTCAATGCGGTGGCGTCTAACAGTTCGAGTTCTTGCTCAGATCCGACCTCAGGAGGTGATAAACATGTGGAACAGAACTACACGTTTATCGAAATTATACATATGCGTTTATATACATACATGAATGTACATACACATACACATATACATATACATATACATATATATATATATACACATGCACATGTCTTGTTCTTTCTCCTGAAATCATTGAGCTTAGAGATCATCAGGGCCGCTTCCGCAATCGCTTTTTTCTCACCATGACTTCGAAGCCGTCGAGGATCCCAGTCTGGGCCACTGCCTTCATCGCCGAGAAAAAAGGCACGTTTTCATAAGCGGGGGGGCTCTCAAGCATCCAAAACCTGGTGAGTGAACACCCAAAAAGCCTGACAGAACGACTACAGCCGAGTGTTAACCCTCCCCAAAAAGGTACACTAGGTTTTGACCCACAGCCAATATCTCCTGGAGCGGGGTGGCATAAAGCAATAAGCTCAGGCGATATCCCCAACAGCAAAACGCCCTCCCCGAACCCTCGCGGAACCCTCCTGGAACCCTCCTTGGAATCGCCCTATGAACCCTCCCAGAACCTTCGCGGAACCCGCCCCGGACCACCCCGGAACCTTCCCGGAGGTTTTGCAGAACTCTCGCAGAATTCTCGCGGAATTGGTTTTCCTATTGTCTTTTTTTTGAGTCAGCCGCACCATCTGGGCCCTGGTCGGGCCGTCGGGCCCCGATCGGGGCCCGATTGCACGTGAGGCTTGGATTGGCGGTTTGCAGTTCCCCGGGACCTCGCACCGTCGGGCCCCGACCGGGGCCCAATTGCACGATTGCACCGTCGGGTCCCGATTGCACCGTCCTCGGTCGGGCCCCGTCGCCTGTACCACGCTCACATCGCCCAGCTTTTTGCTTTAATTTATACAGTTGCGATGCGGACTCCTAAGCAAATCCGGTGCTGCAGCAACAGGTTAAGACCGGGGCCCGACGGCGCAATCGGGGGCCTGTGGGGCCTCGACCGGGGTCCGGTGATGCAAGCAGGCCCTGACCAGCCCCTAGCCACCAATCATAGCGCACCCCCGGTTTTGCTTAGATGTCGCCTTCTTAATTTACAAACAGGGGGGCCCGAACGGCGACGGTGCAATCTGGCCCATCAGGCCGGCTTCGATCGGGGCCCGATGGCGCAAACTCCAAACCACCAATCCCAGCCACCCTGCTTAGGATGCGCCTTATAACTGTATAAAGCAAAGCTGGGCGATGAGGATGCCACCTTACAACTGTATATAAGCAAAGCTGGGCGATGCCAGCTTGATACAGCCTGACGGGCCCGACAGAGGCTCGACGGTGCAATCGGTCCCCGACCGGGACCTGCTGGGATAGGGTCGTACTTATAACTTGAGTTATAAGTTACTATAAGTGGACTTATAACGTGGGACAAGTGACTTATAAGTTTGCTAAGTCCGAGTCCTAGTTATAACTTACTTGCTAAGTGCTAACTTAGTTAGGTGCACTTATAAGTTCGAGCTAAGTTCCGGGCGCCTGGACTTAGAATGAACTTAGCTGGAACTTAGCTTGTGCGTACTATTCCATGAAAAATCATGTTTTTGCGTCCAGCGGCAGCAGAGCAATGCCCAAAACGAGTTTTTATCGCTAAGTCTACTGCCTCGTTTCTTTTTTGTGAGAATCGTTCACACAGCGGTGTCTCCGCTGGCGGCTAGTCCGCCCAGCTATTTTTGCGATTGAAGTCCGCTGGCGGCTGGTCCGCCCAGCAATTTTTGCACTTGAAGCGGTTGTCCGCTGGCGGCTGGTCCGCCCAGCTATTTTTGCACTTGAAGCGGTTGTCCGCTGGCGGCTGGTCCGCCCAGGATTTTTCAGCGTTGATTTTCATTTCGAGATGGCGCTTGAAGCGGTGGTCCGATGGCACTTTGCAATTTTTGCGCGTTCGGATTATCAGTGCGCGGATGAAAGACTGCGAGACTCAAGGCTCCAGAATCCAGACTGCTGACTCCAGACTCTTGACTCCAGACTGCAGACCAGGCGCAAGGCTCCAAAATCCAGACTGCTGACTCCAGACTCCTAACTCCAGACTGCTGACTCCAGACTCCAGACTCGAGATTCCAGACTCCAGACTCGAGATTCCAGACTCCACACTCCAGACTCCAGACTCCAGACTCCACACTCCAGACTCCAGACTCGAGATTCCACACTCCAGACTCCACACTCCAGACTCCAGACTCGAGATTCCACACTCCAGACTCCAGACTCCAGATTCCAGACTCCAGACTCCAGACTCGAGATTCCAGATTCCAGACGCCAGACTCGAGATTCCAGACTCGAGATTCCACACACCAGACTCCACACTCCAGACTCCAGACTCGAGATTCCACACTCCAGACTCCAGACTCCAGATTCCAGACTTCCAGACTCCAGACTCGAGACCGAGATTCCAGACGCCAGACGCGAGACTCGAGACCGAGATCGACTTCCACACTCCAGACTCCAGACTGACTCCAGACTCCAGACTCGAGATTCCAGATTCCAGACGCCAGACTCGAGACTCCAGACTCGAGATTCCACACTCCAGACTCCACACTCCAGACTCCAGACTCGAGATTCCACACTCCAGACTCCAGACTCCAGATTCCAGACTCCAGACTCCAGACTCGAGATTCCAGATTCCAGACGCCAGACTCGAGATTCCACACTCCAGACTCCGATTCCACACTCCAGACTCCAGACTCCAGACTCGAGATTCTAAAATCCTGGGCGGACCAGCCGCCAGCGGACAACCGCTTCAAGTGCAAAAATAGCTGGGCGGACCAGCCGCCTGCGGAGACACCGCCATGTGAATGAACACCAAAAAAAACGAGGCAGTCACTGCAAAAAATACTCCGGCTCCATCGAGCCAAACGAGAGAAGCAGCGCGAACGGCGTAAACTGCCTGCCCTCCTGCGTTGAGCCACTCGAAAATGCGCGCTTCCCAGCGCGTAATGCTTCATCACTGCCATGCTTCAAAACGCATGTGTTTGCCAACTCAATGAACTTAGAATGAACTTAGCGGACTTAGAAAACACTCTTTTCTAAGTTCAAGATAAGTTACATATAAGTCCAAGCTAAGTGCTAAGTCACTTATAACTCCAGCGTAAGTACAGCCCCGTCCCAGTGACGGCGCAATGGGGGCCCGATTCAATCGGGCCCCGATCGGGCCCTGACGGTGCAGTTGGGCCCCGACCGGGGCCAGATGGTGCAAGCGGGCCCCGAGGCCAACCAATCCCCACCACCCATTGCTCACCGCCGGTTTTGCTTAGGATGCCGGCTTATAACTGCATGTGTAAAGCAAAGCTGGGCGACGCCATGGTACGGGGCCCGACCGAGGCTCGACGGTGCATGCAATCGGGCCCCGACGATGCAATCGGGCCCCGACGGTGCAATTGGGCCCCGACCGGGGCCCGATGGTGCAAGCAGGACCCCGGGGAACTGCAAACCGCCAGTCCAAGCCACCTCACCGCCGGTTTTGCTTAGGATGCCGCCTTGTAACTTTACCTAGATCTTCGTTTGGCATGCTTTTTTTTCGGTTCCCACCCCCAAACGGATGCTTTCGGCAAAGCGGCCATTTTTGAGGAAACGCGCGCTGTTTTGGAAACGAGTGCATGAAATGTGTGAAACAGCGAGATTCCGGCCAAACAATTAGGCCGCACAACGGGCGCAATTCCCCGCAACAAGCGCGCAATTTCGCGCAAACGGGCGCAATTTCAAGAAATGTATTTTTCCCCAACAGCGAGAGCTTAGGGGTCTTCAGCCATAGTAAAGGCTTCGGGGCGATCTGGGGCAGGCCCGGGAACATTGGTAATCTCAAGGTTCCGGGAAGGTTCCGGAGGTCTGCTGGGATTGCTGGACCAGTCGCTGTCGAGGTGGTCATCAAAGCGGGTTCCGGGAAGGTTCCGGAGGTCTGCTGGGATGGCTGGGGCAGCTGCTGGCGAGCTGGTCGGGTTCCAGGAAGGTTCCGCAAGGCTTCGGGGCGATCTGGGGCAGGCCCGGGAACATTGGTAATCTCAAGGTTCCGGGAAGGTTCCGGAGGTCTGCTGGGATTGCTGGGGCAATCGCTGTCGAGGTGGTTCGTGGTCATCAAAGCGGGTTCCGGGAAGGTTCCGAGGTCTGCTGGGATGGCTGGGGCATCTGCTGGCGTGGTCATCGAGTGGGTTCCGGGAAGGTTCCGGAGCTCTGCTGGGATTGCTGGGGCCAACGCTGGCGAGGTCGGGTTCCAGGAAGGTTCCGGAGGTGGGCTGGGGCATCTGCTGGCGTGGTCATCGAGTGGGTTCCGGGAAGGTTCCGGAGGTCTGCTGGGATTGCTGGGGCAATCGCTGTTGAGGTGGTTCGTGGTCATCAAAGCGGGTTCCGGGAAGGTTCTGGAGCTCTGATGCGTACTTCGGACTGCATTCGGCTATAATTATAGACTCGCTACGTGAACAGCGCCGCGCAGCGGCGCCGCCGAACGGCGCCGCTCAACGGCGCTGCTGAGCGGCGCCGCGGGGTGGCGTCACGGGACGGTCTTCGTTCGGTTATACAGCCGGCCTCTACTCGGACGTATACATCGGACTGCGTTCGGCTCTAATTATAAACTCTACGTGAACAGCGCCGCGCAGCGGCGCCGCTGAACGGGCGCGCGTTCACCGGACGGTCGATCTTCGTTCGGTTATAAAGCCGGCCTCTACTCGGACGTATACATCGGACTGCATTCGGCTCTAATTATAGACTCTACGTGAACAGCGCCGCGCAGCGGCGCCGCGGGGTGGCGTCACGGGACGGTCTTCGTTCGGTTGTAAAGCCGGCCATTACTCGGATGCGTACTTCGGACTGCATTCAGCTATACCTGCACCCCCATTTGATACATAAATTTCTGCGCGGGCAAATGTACCAAAATTTGGTGCTCGAGCCAACGCTATTCTGACTTTGATTGAAAAAAGGCTCGTTTTCAAAAAACTGCTCGGTGTGCAGTTGCGCCACACGTTGTGCCA